TAGGCGAGTCCTTCGAACAGTACTCATTCATCGTTAGCTCAAAGTAATAATAGGAAAGAACGGCTTATTTTTAGGTTAAATGCGGCTCGTTGGACTAAATCAAATCGCTCAATCAAGGTGAATGGCATATTTCGGCTAGGTTAAACTAAACATGTGACATATCAAGCAGGTTTCTATGTCATTTTTCAACACAAATTTTTGGACTAGAGCATATTTAATAAAATGGCTGCAACTAAATTGCTGTCTATTAGGTCATAGGTGCTTAGCGATTAGTTAAGGTGTGTATATTTTAAGCAGGAGCAAAAACTGTACGACCACATATTTTTGCTAATATGTATAATATTACGTACAGTAACATCACGTGTCTCCAGGGCTATAAATAAAACTTCCTATTAACAATAAGTATACACGGGTGATGTAAGCAAGTTAAACGAAAATCGAATAAATACGGCACTTACCTCCTTTGGTTGGAGTCCTGTGTGAGGAATGCTGCGCTCTGTAACCTCGGATCATTTCGTAATCGCCAGAGTCGCGCCTCAGGGGAAATTGAATTTCGATGATGTGGTCACATGGCTGCATCAGCTTCAGAATACCGGCTACCTTCTTTTTCTTCTCCTCAATGGGAACTCTTGACTTCATGTCTTCTACCAGTTTGTCTTCGATCACTTGGCAGGCTCTGTGGAAGAAATATTCCACCATGTCGAAGAACCTTGGGTTTGCGTGGGTCGGAATATCCTTAAGCCTGTCTGGTATTTCATGGCTAGCGTATGTGCGGCAGCATACGTTTACAGCAGCAGGCGTCAGTTTGACTGCCTCGTTCTGGATGGTATTCTTTAGAGGTGGAACCACCGATTTGGCGATGTTCTTTAGGTGAAGCATTGTGACTGTTTTAATTAAGTACGTCGGTCGGGTTAATAATCGGGCCGCCCTACTCTACACTTAATGTATAATACACAATTTCTATGTAGTGTTATAATAGAATGTAGTGACGACCCGCCCCGACGGAATCCGACTCACTGAGTAAGTAAAGCGGTGTACGGCAAAAAATAAAAAGGCCCCAAGTCGTGATGCGGATATTTGGTCTCGCTCCCACTTGGGCATATTGAGTAAGATATCACATCGCTGTGAAGTTGGTCACACTCATCGAATCGTTAATCGTTAGGGCTGAGTTATTGTGTGAGACTGCCACATATAATAAAGTCCCTTTTTACGTCAGTAACAGTTTATTTTCAATAATGTGATATTAATAGTTTATTAATTATTTAGGTAGGTCTACAACTACCTCTAACTCCTATGAGTTAGAAGTCCTAGTAGGGTTAACATTTAGGAAACTTGCATTTTTTGGTTTGTTAGTTTTAGAAACATCTAGGAATATAGTTTTTAAAAAGAAAATCTCAGTAGTAGCACGGAGTCTGGAAATGTGCCCGGTATATGGCAATAGGTTCACCCCCTATTACATGGTACTCATAACATAAATTGTCAAAAGAGGGTGTTATTTCTGTGTGCACCTCTGCCTACCCCTTCGGGGATAAAAGACGTGATGTTATATTATGTAGGAATACCTGTGTAATTATCAAAATAAGCAAGATATAAGTTTATTTAGTAACAGATTAATCGTTACATTGTATCCGAAAATTCTTATTGTCTATGAATGAGCAACTTTAGTCAGAATATGGCTAGCTAACAATCGACTAAAATAAAACACAGCTGACTGATAGCGGCTGTCATATTATTATTATTGTAGATTGTGTGTTTGTTAAGATCAGATGACAGTAATATTCAGTTAGCACAGTTGTTCAATACCAAGATATAAGATAATTATCGTTAATCTAACGACGCAGTTACAGCATTTAATTAAGAAGAATGTCAAATTCATGAAATGAATTTGCATGTGTTATAGATTTTGATATTGATTCACTATTAGGTAGGTAGGTACCTGTTAAACAATAAATTATCTGCGGTTGATTTAATACAGTACACAGCTAATTATTTGTGGGTATACCGTAAATATAAGTAGGTAGATGCGTTGATCCCCACTATGTCATTACACGTGTGGAGTATTGGAGATTGTGGTGGGAGCAAGCGGCAAAATACGCAAAATAATTATGATCTGAGCCAAATTTAGTGAAAGAAATATTTATATACTGAAGTATTTATTGAAATGGATTTGCATTTTAACGCTGTAGCAGAAAAGTTGCACGAGAAATTAAGTCATTTATTAATATTATCCGATCCACAGAGCTTAATTCGGTAAGTTTTATATTGTGCGTGAACTATGAGAAAATACCTATAAATTTTGTTCAAATGTAGGTATCTGCTAAATTCCTTTTCTGTGAATTATTTTGTGCTATATCATTAATTCCTTTTCTAGACTCGACGCCACAATGTTCGATCCACACAGTGGAACTACTCCATATAGAATAGATATTTTACCAGATGAGTTACTGATAAAGATTTTCCAAAACCTGCCGATAGAGTCCATACTGGAGTGTGAAAAGGTATGCAATCGATGGAAGAAAATTAGTAGAGATCTCTCAATTTGGCGGGGCCTTGATTTTGTTTACTCCGGGAAACCGGGTCAGACAGAAATAGGAGAAAGAAACTTAAGAATCTTAGACACTCACCGCGAATGCATACGATGTCTCAAAATTCAGTACGTGTACAGTTACTCTGAGATCAAATCAATCATTGATCAGTGTCCTAACATCATATCTCTGGAACTTGTCATGTGCCGTATAGGCAAACAATTTGAAAAGGATATCACGAAGTGGCCCGACCTGAGGAAGATTAACCTTAAGAATTCACTCGTATTAATGAACAACGTTGAAGTATTGGTTCCTTATGATAATTTTAAACATTTGAACTATTTGTCTTTGTCTGACTTTGGTTTGCCAGTGGAAACGCGTGATAGTTTGCTCCGCTGTAACTATTTAACCCACATTTTAATAGAAAAGGTTAAAGATCTGACTTTAGACTATGTTAAAAGGTTGATAACCAATAAAACGAAGATTCTTGTCGCCCTACACATATATGGGGGTGACGCTGTCGACGACGAATGTTTACAAATGTTGTCGTATTGTAATTCGTTAAAAGATCTTGCTATAATACATTGTGAAAATCTCACTGACGCAGGACTAATCAAACTGACTAATTTAAAAAAAATACAACATTTACAAATCTGGAACAACATTGTGTTTAGTGAAGAGAATCTGAAAAGAACGCTAGCAAGTCCGAATTTAACTAAATTAGAAAGTTTAAGTCTATCAAAGATAGGAAATGTTTCACCTGTGATAGTCGATGTGATTTCTGAACATTACAAGAATCTTAAGTTTCTCGCTTTATATCAATGTCCTCAAATCATAAACACTGATTACGAAAAGCAGTTGAAAGCGAAATTTCGAAATATTGATGTTGTTTTGTATTGATATGGAATTGTAGGGATTTTATTGTGTTTATTTGTACCAAATTCTCGTGTTTATTGAGAATTAAAAAACTTCATTCAAACCACATAAGTATAATTCACTGTATAAATAATGGCATAATTGTGTCAAATAATTACAATTTTCAATGCAATATGACAAAAATAAGATAAAACTTATTGGATAACATACCTACTAGTCTTTTTGTTAAGAGAATATTTTTTTCTTATTGGAAAGCATTATTTTATCAACAAATACAAAATAATATGAAAGTGACCTTATGTGCTCATATACAAATATAATTTACTACTTTATCAAATGAACACGATTACAACATCGATGTTTCATTCGGTGGCTAATCTATGGAAGTTACTCGTTTGTCCTAAAGTGTACTTTAATACATTGATCTAAGGTTATTTGTGATGTTACATAACAATACAATACCATTACCTATAACAAACAAACGGTTGTTTTATTTAATCCTTTAAAATTTGGTTTCAACGGTCACATAAAAGACATTCAATACTCTAGCTAGAGTAAGTGAAAACATAATTTATGTTTCTAAAACATTTTTAAAATACATTTAGACATTTAAAATACATACATTTCGACAAGTTATTCATTTCGCGTCTTACAAAAACACTACATCACAATTTTATGTTATATTTCAAACATATCACAGCAACCCAAACGATTTGGTTCATTTCCGACATCCCATTGTATTATTGACTACATTAAGAATCTTGTTTAACTTCTAATGACACGAACAAATGCGACAGTTACACATTTGTGTATTTCATTTACAATCTTAATATAGTGCCGATTAATGTAACGCTAAATACACTAACTTAAAATCTACAAATGTTTGATAAGCTCAAAATTTGTTTGTTCTAAATATTTTACACGATTTTCCTTTGTACACTGTCCGATTTTTGGTTTCAAGCAGGAACAAGTAAATAAATAAATTCGGTTAGCTAAACATACGACAGTGTTGAAATTGTTTGAAAAAATAAAAAATGTTACCGTCACAACCTGTAATGAAAGAAAGTCCATAAGATAAATACTTTTAGCACATTTGGCTACGAGGTAGTATATTGTATAACAGTGATGTTCATCGAAAATAAAAGTTGTAGCTGCGTTTTTACAATCAGTTTACAATTTAATGATTCTTGTTCTATAGCTTAACGTGTATACAAAGATATGTCAAAAGAAAATCTAGAATTACTATTAGTTCACATTCTAATCACATCAACAGCTGTACACAATTTGGAAATGAAGCATAAAATAAGTAAACCACAATAACTGCAGGCACGAAATGTCAAGTACATAAGTATAAGATAACCTAAATTAAAACCATTTAAAATAAAACACAATACATTCTGCACAATAAATCCATCTTTTTATATAAATATATTTACAGACACGCATGAGCGAGGGAAAACAGTTACATAACTTTAGCGACGTAACACTAAACACTAACCGTGATTTCGGAACATTGTGTGGAACATCTAGTCGGAACCTTAGTACAAATTCGCTATCTACTCTCTGGGACAAAATTAGACGGAGAAACGACGGAGATTATCATCGCTTGCGTCCACGCATGATCTGCAGGGCTTTTGCCATGAGGGGGGCTTTCTTCGGTTTGAAGGAGGAAGGAGTAGATGAGGGCATGGGGGCGAGGGCTCGAACAGGGCCGGAGTCCCCGCGGCGTACGTTAGGCGCGGCGGCCGCCAGGGACGCCACTCGCGCCGCCGGACTACCCGTCGCCAGTCGAGCTGTGCCATGCTGCGCCTGTATAGGTACATACATTCACATTACATATCTTCAATTATTAACTTTGGTTATTAAATAGGGTAGTCTCCAACTTGTCAAAGTCTAACGATAAACCTAATTTTTTTTACTACCCGTCTTAAAGAAAACGACGATACAAGAGAGTATTATCTGACAACTGCTAAAAATTAAAAAATGTGTTATTTTTAAGTTCACTTGATTAAACGACATATTGGTACAGCAATTTACATTCGTAAATTACTTACATACATTTACATTAAGGTTAATTTAAAAAATAATCTTACCTGTTTCTTGGCGATGTTTCGAGGCGGCTTTGCAATTGAATCGACATACGCCATTTTTGTTTGCTTAATAGGCGCCTTCTTCGCTTCTTGAGCTATTTTAATGTTCGCCGTTAGCGATTTTAACTTAATTTCTTGTTCTTCTTGGCATCTCTGTAAAATAAATATGAAGTTATTAAAATACACGTTTTTTATAATATCGTCATTATTCTTTGTGTACAATTTCATCTATCTCTTTCTCTATTCAGAAATTTTATTATACAACGGACCACTCAGAAAGTCATTGGAGGAAAGTTATTTTCAGTTGCTAATAATATCATGATAATGGAACTCAATGTATGTATGTATGGCTAAGTTTAAAAGAAATAACAAAAGAAACTTACCGAATACATTTCCCTCCAGGCTTCCAATTCTTGCCGCTGTTTGTTACGGAAATCTTTCTGACAGAACTTCTGCCATAGATGGTCGGTGTCCTCCATCAGGTAGGGATTGTAATGTTCCAATACGAACAACTGTTGCGGAGTCGCCCTGTCTACGACAGGCTTTAGGATTTCGTATGGCACACCACCTGTATATTCAAGTGCTGAAACGATAAAGAAGTAATTGTTAGTACAGTTGAGTAGATATGAGTACGTTTTACATTCTAATTTTCGTGATACATATTATACTAATTATGTTTTACGGCTTATGTAACTGTTTATATAACAACAACAACATAACGTCACGCCTTTTAACCCCGAAGGGGTAGGCAGAGGTGCACATAGAAGTAACACCCACTTTTCACTATTTATGTTATGAGTCCCATGTAATAGGGGGTGAGCCTATTGCCATATACCGGGCACATTTCCAGACTCCGTGCTACTACTGAGATTTTTTTAAACCCAGTAATACTTTGCCCGATCCGGGAATCGGACCCGAGACCCTTTGCCCGGCAGTCGCACTTGCGATCACTCGGCCAACGAGGCGGTGTAACTGTTTATGAGGTAACTCAATTGGTTCCGACTCGGAGTCAGGCCAGGGGCTCTAATGAGAGAAGCACTGCGCGACAAATGACACAGCAAACGTCGCCGTAGAAAATATAATTAATTAGACACAAATCTTTCTATAATGTATTCTGTGGTATAATATTGCTAAATAAGAAATCGAAACGCAACAAACAAATGTCAAGTTGCATAATACTGTGAAGAAGATGAAATTTTTACTGATAATAGTTTCCAACAAATTATATGCTTTTCATAATAAACAACAATGATTGAAACTTACCATCGATATGTTCCTGCAGTACGTTAACACACATTTCATAGAGTGTTGGTATTTTTCCTATGACCTTGTTGCCTGAATATACTTTGGTTCTGAAATAAGAGGAAAAACCAAGTCAATTACGTAATAATAATTTCACAATATATATAATTAAAATTAGGTACTAAATATATGACTGAGGGGAATTAAAAAAAATAACATAGTTAAAAGACTTTTTTGTTGATATTACCACATGCATTTTTCGTAGTTTTTATACTTTTCTCTGAATATTTTATTGTTTGAAATGAAGGAAGGTACAATAAATTATATTTACCTTTGGTTTTTAGATGTAATAACATGATTCATGGCTTCTTCATCGCTGAAATGTGGCAGTGGTCGAGGTGGCGGCCGTGGTTTGTAGTTGGGCGATATTTCTGGTAGTGCTGAGATCTCTAGCGCTGGTAATGGCGCTAGCTTCGCAGTAGGAGCTAGGAGAGTTGCTGGACTTAACTGTGGAAAAATAATTTACGTGAATATTGGTTTTACTTGGGGCTAACATAATCATCGAAAAGTGGTGTCATACGAAATCCTATAGGGACTACAACTCTTCCGAAAATTAACACGTCAACTATTTTGTGCTAAATCTACAGCATGGTATTTTTTCAAGAGATTTCTAGTATACAGGTTAAAGAAACTATTCAATTTAAAAGGCCTAATAAGGTATCTCAAGGCTCCGAGAACCGCTAAATCATGTCGGTACATTATAATGCGACTTCCATCAAAATGATTCATCTCATTTAGTTTAAGGAAAATCCTTACACAGCAAATTGCAATCAGAAATATAATTTTAATTCTATAACATAACAGGAAAAGTTTGTAGAATTTATCTAAGCATTTTACTGTAATACTATTTCATTTTAACAAACTGTAAATATAAAAAAAGTAAAATGTTTGCTTACATCATTGGGTGAAACGGACTCCTTCAGTGTTCTCTTTTTTGGCTTGGCGGGACTGATCATTCCTAGAGCTTCAGCAAAACTGGCACCTGAAATAATGTTTAAAATTAATAACTAAACTATACACTATCTAGAGTTTTAAATAAAATTACTTAACAAAGACTACTACAAACTCCTTGGAAATCTAATGAACCATTTATTATTTTCAATAAATTTCCAATTAGTTCATTCTTATTTACAAAGGAAATAGGTATTATGTACACATATATCTCTACTGAAATGGATTTAATTTGATATTAAATATGGCATATAAAGTTAAAAGAAATATTTACCTGAGCCGCAGTCGATTCCGTCATCACTATCCTCCATGGTTTGTATTTGAACTTTTTTCTTTGGTACTTCATCATTTTTACTGCTGCTTGACTTACTCTTGTGTGAAGAGGAACTGGATTTGTGCTTCGATTTCTTGTCTGCTTTCTCATCATTCTTTTCAGAATGACTTTTACTGCTACCATTCGACTTGCTCTCACTGGACGAAGAATGTTTCTTCTCACTACTATGACTACTTGATTTCTCTTTAGAAGAACTACTTCTATCTTTTGACTTTTCCTTACTTGAGGAACTATGCTTTTCCTTAGAACTACTACTATTACTAGAACTTTCCTTAACCTTGTGTTTTGACTTTTCAACATCTCTTTCAGATGAACTTTTATGCTTCTCTTTTTCTGAATGACTTGAGCTCTTGTGTTTGTCCGACTTACTATGTTTATCAGAACTTTTGTTTTTGTCAGACCCACTCTCTGTTTTGTGAGAGCCACTTGACTTGTGTTTGTCAGAGCTACTATGTTTATCTACACTATTATGTTTGTCCAAACTGTGCTTTTCTGATCTACTGTGTTTGTCCGAACTACTATGTTTGTCCAAACTATTGTGTTTGTCTGAACTACTGTGTTTATCTGCACTACTGTGCTTCTCTGTGCCGCTATGCTTGTCTGAACTATGTTTGCTCGACGATTTTGACTCCTTGTGAGTTTTATCTCCTTCTTGTTTGATTTTCTTTTCAGAATATGTTTCTCTTTCTTTCGAGCTCTTGTGTTTGTCGTGACTGTGGCTCTTGTCTTTTGATGATGTCTTCTCAGAAGAATGCTTGTCTTTCGACTGTGAGCTATGGTGCCTAGAGTGCTTCTCTTCATGGCTTCTATGTGAACTGGATGACTTATGATCAGTATACTCACTGTGGGAAGAGTGTTTGGAAGACGACTTATGACTATTTGGTTCCACCTTTATTTCTTGTTTGACTTTAACCTCTTCCTGGGAGGAATCTGACATGTCTGACTCACTTTCGTCACTCTGTGAGGCATCACTATCATCACGACTGTCGCTTTCAGTCTCAGTTTTCACTTTGACTTGCGACTTTTCTTTATAATCATCTTCACTAGAACTAGACTGTTTTCGCCGTTTTGTGGAGGGTTCCTCATCCTGGAATATTTACATTATAATTATAATTTTACATATATTTCTTCAGTTAAAGCCAGTTGTTAATTCAATTCTATAAATGGACAAAAGAGTATAGAAAATTACTCATATTAGCAGTTTTTAATACATAGGCAAATTATACTACAGTATGTGGATGTTTTTGTGACATGCAAATGATATTCTAACCACAGATAACAGGGTTTTACATGCAGTTACGAAATCGCTGATAACTTACCTCACTGCTGTGGTATTTTCGTTTGCTCCCGCTATAATTCCCGTTAGTTTCCCGGCGGTGTTTCGATTTCGATGAATGTGATTGCTCGTATTTATCGGACCTATGCCTCGATTGAGCATTATCATCCGAGTCCTTTTCACTGCCGTGTCCATTCTGAGTAGAACCTGAAATGAAAAAGTGATTATTTAATATTCATTGAACAGCACTCTATACACAAAACACAAAATTATCTAATAGAATAAAATAAAAATACCATAATAAAGATGCATGTTGAATAAGTTGATGTTGTTAAACAAAATCATAAAATTATAAGAAATATGATTTTATTTAATTGAAGTTGTGTCACTGTGAACCTTTCACTGCCACAAACAAACTTCAAATGATGTCTTTGCACTTGTAGTAGTCAGGTACTCAAACTGTGAACCTTTCTCTGCCAAATCCAAACTGCAAATGATTTCTTTACCCTTGAAGGCAGGTATTTATAGGTGTGTGACTAATGGGATTTATTTTAACAATGGGCAAGTAATTAGAAGTAATGGGGTCTAAACTTGATATGAAAGTAATTAACTAATAGATTACTAGAAAATTGCAACACATTGATCCTTAATGATATGCCCTATAGAGTAATTTATGGGAATTTTCATAATTGTTGTGAATATTTTTATTAGGTCTTTATCAATGCCATTTGTTATAAGTTTATTAATTAGCAAAGATATCATTGACATAAAATAAATTGATGACTTAATAATTCATTATTCTACAAAATATTCTTGGTATTTTTTTGGTAGAGAAATAATTATTTAAAAAGTCATATCACATGTCATAAAAAAATACCACATGTTTGACAAAACATGGTATTATGGTATTTTTATTTACTTTCTTTGATGCAGAATAAAAATTTATCTGTTTAAATTTATGTACAAGTTTTTATCCAATAAGTAAATGGTAAAGCAAATAAATAAAGGTTGAGTATAGGTCTAGTAATGAAATGAAGTATAAAGTTAAAAAAATATATATTTCATTAAGAAATGTGACTATAATAAAATTGCCCCAATTATACAAGTATAATAATTAACTTAAATTATAACAGATAGATTGAATTCATACTGACAAATTAAATAAAGCTAAGAGTGATCACATAATGAAATATTATTAAATGTGTATAACAACATTTCCTATGAACAGCAACAAGTAATAATAAATGAAATCTGCACAGATCTATGGAAGGAAACTTGATTCTTTAAAATGATACATTTTCAATGTATTTTTAAACACTTAACAGTAAATTAAAATAACAACTTTAGTAATAATTATATCTTTTTAACTTTGTTTTCAACATGTAAGCTATGCCAATAAAACAACAATGACCATGCAACATTTCATGCTTTGTAAATTACTGAGTAAGTTTATCAAACCACTAATTGACTGTGTTAATATGGTAAATATATTTGGTGCCATACCAAAACAATGTTATGCTTTCTTATTGTATTGTTTGTAAACAAAAATGAAAGACAATTTTTTCAATACATGGTTAATCAGAGCATTGTTATAAAGTTAAAGCTCACTGTTCCCACTAAGTATGTAAGAGTTTAAAATGTAGGCTCACTGTCATTGTTTGTGTCTGTTTCCGTATCACTCTCCTCAGCAGCCACCATCAGCTTCCACTTGTACACCAGGGAGCGGGCCGCCTGCCCCACTTCTCCCGGCTCCTTGCGCAACGCATTTACAGTTCGGCCCACCCCTGTCTCCTGTAGGTGCTGGACTGTCACAGCCAAGTTGAACAGCTTGTCTATACATCTTAACACCTGAAAAATAAACACACGCCCCTATTGATTCTATTCCTATTCATTATACTCAGTTTTTGTTGGTTAAACTGGTAAAATTAAATTACCATACGTATGTCGAATAATACCACGAATAATACCACGACTCAAAAATAATTAAATAATACGATCAAGCTACATTTTTCTCATCGAGGACATTTAGTATTTTTTTACTTTTTGCGTCGCCTTGATATGGCACTCTCGTCATGCAAAATAATTCAGGAATTATCTAAATTTAATGGGGAATTACACCAAATGGAAGATGAGTTAGAGGCATACTCACTTTATTCTCGTCGTTCGGATGTTTCTCTATTGCGTGCTGGTAATGTTTAACTAAATCAAGAACTGACGACGCCATGCTTCACAATTTTTATCATCACAATGTCAATTCTTTAGCAATAAAGACTTGATGCCAGCTGGTAAACGGGCACCATTTTTATCATACACATAGACGTCAATGACGTTCCGAACACATATGTTTGATGAGACGTTCGGATACACTTAACAAAGATCAGTTTTGGTAACATCACTATTACTATTTGTCTATGGATAAAGATTACTATACAGGCCTCATGATAATGTTTGTAATCCGGATGAACGTTTATCTCTTACAGAATAAATGATAAGCAGATGGAAATCTAAATTATTTTCAATATATAGTTTTATAAATAAAATTATTTTAGTATTATTCAAAGTACTTATACACAAACATTGTACTCTTGCCCCTTGCCACAGTAGCGTTATCAAATGAGGACCACCAATTTTGCTCACCAGGTGGCGCTACTCTAGTGTTGTCTGATTGCTCAATAGAGCCCATAGATATTAGTCTTATCATATCAGTGATAGAGCCCAATAGAGCTCTTATTATCAAATTATTGGAAATTCAATTTTTTACAGCTATCGATATGCTGGTAACAAGGTCATATTAATAGAATAAACAGACCTAAAGCGGTAGGTCTGTTTGTTACTGTGACAGTTGCTCACTAGATGGCCTCAATGTAGCGAAACGTAAAACATTTTCAAAATACAGATTGAACTCTTTACAAATGATACCCAACACGAAACAAAACCGGTTTTTCGTCCGTTTCGATTAATTCGTTCATTGTGTGTATTTATTGTGGTATTTTATTTTTAAAATATGAAAAATATTATTTATGTTAAGTTTTTACGTACTTATTTACACTAGGTACTTACCACCCATCTAGATGTTTTCATTAGGTAGGTATACTACTTACCTACTTCTTTGTCATGTCTCAATAAATATTATTAAAACATGATAAATCATAGATTTCTAACACATAATATACATAAGTACATCACATTATTAGTAAGCCCTACCATCCATAAAATTAATTTTTTAATTTTTTGTGATGAAGGTACTCCTCTTTTCTGTATATCTTGTACCTACCTATAAACGATAGCGGTGCCGTTAAATATTTCGGAGTACACAATCCCAGTTATAAGTATGGGCGGTCGCTAGTTAGTTGTCATCTCCAACGATTTATGGAGCTGGTTGCGCTGTGAGGCTGTGGGTCAAGGGGGCATGGGTGAGCCCCACAGCCGGCGGCGCAGTAACGTGACCTCTGTCAACTACTATCTACCTTCCCCTTACGCTTTATTTACCCACAACAGCCGCGCCCACCCTCTATATTTAACCTAATACTCATCCTTGGTCTTTAACCTTCGACATAGCTCTCTTAAGTGCAAGCCGACATCAATTACCTACTTTCGCAATATTGGAAACTTTATTGTTCCACTTTAGTTTTTAACCTTTGTCTCGTGTTCCACCATGAACATATCCGCTTTTAATTTTGTTTACATTCCCAGTAAACCAAAGAGCCACAATCTTAATGGCAGTGTAATCGAATATAGAATTCAAAGAACATATTATGCTAACTAGCAATCAATGTCTAAGTGCATGTAAGTAGTAAGAGCCCGTTAGCTCGTCTAGCTTTCAAGTTGCCACTTACAAGGTAGCAAAATGCGTGTTGTAGTTACAGGAAGCTCATCGAATTCTGTGCAATTCAAGCCACTATCCAAACGACCGACGTGCGACGTGAGGCTTGACATGAGCGGATACGTATTATTATTATTCTATGGTTAATTGTATAGGCAGACTTCTATAGTAATGTATCGGGAGTATGGAGGCTGGCGCCCGCTTCCCACGCATTTGCAGTTGACCCTACTAGGTACCTTTGCTTCCCCTACATACTGGTACATGGCGAATCCTGTGTACCTTGGGTTAGTACAAGTCTAGCGCTAATGTCCCCGTTATCTCTGTGCTCCTGCCTCCCTTCGTGCCGTGTTGTGGCCCAAACTGCTTTAACGTACCCATAAATTATTGAGCATTTAAATTATAAAGAAAATTTTACTAAAAGTAATTGTTTGGAATATTTTTGGTTTGATAAAATGAGTACTGAGTAGCGCCTAGGTGTTTGTAAGAGCAATTATTTTACCATTACTAGTCTATTCACTGAGTGCCTGACGGTTGCCAATGTTCTTCGTATTGTCGTCCGGACCTGTTGCTAACGCGGTCCTCTTAGGCGTCGATGAGTCAGCTACGACGACGCTACGAACGAGTTCTATTGAGCATAAAAGACAATAGTCGAGTAGGTAATTCTATTGTTTTTTAGTATTGAGATTGTTAAATTGTAGACTCGTATTCATAGAAGTCGTGTAAACATAAAGGAAGAGGTTCATGTTTTAAATATTATAGGTAGGTACATACTCTACTTAGACATTATTATTAGTTACAGGTAAGGTTAAGTAGGTACCTATTGGTTATTTGTGAATCATCTTTCTCATTTAAATGCAAAATGAGTAGGTATATAAAACATCAATACAGTACAAATGTATGTTCAGAATAGCTTATTGATCGACTGTATTACCTTTACAACTCTACAATCTTCGGATTATTTTCATAGATCATTATTTGCAAGGATAGCTGGACCTATTCCTGGTTGTTATTATGCTCGACTCGCAACCGGGCCGATTGTTATCATTTGAGAATCACACTAACAAGTAAACGTGAACTGGTAATGGGAGTCGGGACCGTTGGTACCGAATTCAATACAGCGTGCGGAAGCATTGCGACGGTAATCTGCCCGCACAGCGCCCGTAGATCGAGATATTTGCTTGTATGCAAATGGAGGCCCTTACCGTGCGACCGCGCCGCAACAAGCTGATGTGATAATACCCAACGGTCTCCATATAGAGTGATACTAACACAAGATACACGTGTAGATAAGGACGATGGTCGACAACCCGTAATAGAGACAAAGGGACAAGAGCCCATTGCCGGCCCGCTACACTGAAATAGGCAGTCATAACAATAATTTTGTAATCATATTATTTATAGCACCAAATAACGTTATGCGCAAGATTAGCATTTAGCATACACGTCCCTTATCGCCGTATAAGTCAACAGGAAGAATCATTATGTAAACAAGATGCCAAGAAAAAGTAAAAATAACTCATCGGTCCGGTTCGTCCACCTTCATCGACTTCCTGCGCGTAGGGCTAGGAAGTATGTCCTGATTGGCGAGGTAGCGCGTGCGCAAAAGCTTGTTACCTATAATTTCCCAGCAGACAAGATTAATATGGCGTTAAAGGGATCATCACTCGAAGTTATTAAGGTGTTGTTCAGCACTTGAGGCGTTTGTTCAAAGGTCAAACTATAATAATCGTCGTGTTCACACACTAGCATACCATTATAAATAACTTCGACGCCATATATCATAGTAATTTAGTTAGGTTCTGTTATGAAGGTTCATGAAATTAATATCACGTTAACCTTTTTGCCTAAGGAGAATAGGAGAAACTTAGGTACAGGCATGGGAACTATCAACACAGGACATAATAGCATAGGTAAACTTATTCGAGTCATATAAAAGTCAATAATTATAATAAACACTTTTGTTTATTGTGGGTTTCAATAAATAAGGCGTGTGATTAGATAGGTGACATTATTTTATGTTGAAAATAGAAACCAAGCGGCGCGGCGCTAGGCGTGTTGTGTACGGGCTGACTAATAAGGTGTCCGATTTAAAACTGCAATATTGCTCGGATGGAGACAGGCGGATAGCTCATTGCTCGCCTGCGTTATTAATCCTGCAGTTTCCCTGGTTGACTTTTGCAAATTGCACGGCAAGATACGCTGCTATTCGAGATCTTTTCTTTGATTTTTGTATCATCAACTGTCAACATCCTTTTTCATGTAGCTAATACACAGTTGTTTTTGCTATGAGAATGAGAAAGGACTTGTCTAAATGAAATTACTTATAAAATATGTTTAGTCCCGAGGTAGTTTATGTGGTACCATGAAGCTGCGCGAAGATATTTTAAGAAACGTGTTAAGAAAGCATCTGTAGGAAATGAAATCAGTTAGCTAGTGTTAAGGAAGGAATCTTTGTCAATTAAATAATTACCTATTCATTGAATTTATTCAGAAAGTTATGAAGGGGATAAGACGATTTCTTCTTTTTGTTTTCACATATTTGATGTCAGAGAATACATAGTACCTACATTATTTAGACTATATTTAGTATAGGTAAGTAGAAGGAACTATGATATGTCGCAAAATCTCAAAGCGCCTAGTTGAATGATATTCATTAAGATTTAGGGTTGTTTTCTGACAAATTTCTCGGAATAGAACCGTACCATAAGTCCTATAAGGAATGTATAAGCTATATCAAATTACAGGCGCGAATAAGGCAAGCATGTGCGATTACAAGTCGCTGTAAAAGGAACTAATTTAGATAAGTTAGAAGATGTCTCGCAATTTGCACGGCTATCCGACGATAGCACCTTAGACCAAGTAACATCTGTATCAAACTCATTTCATGCAAATAAATATTTCTTCTTTTATTCACAATCGCATTTAATCCAGTTTATATTTACCGTGAAATGCTACAAAAAGTTTAGTATAAATTCGTTTACTATAGATATAGGTAGCTGTAATGCAGTTCAATAACAGTTGCAGGCTACAGACAGAAATATAAGTATTAATTCTTGTAACCGACAGTTTTATTAAATAATAAGTATCGTAAACCGTTCCTGAGGCGAATTAATACAGCGACCGATCCCTGACCCTTTATGATTTAACAATATTGTCTGTATATGAAAGTAATTATAACGGTAGCTATAAATTATCAGTGCTTTACTAGTTCTATCCCATGGCCATATAGAGGAGCATGTATGGGCTTGTGAGTCCAACTTTGTATAGTTCCGTACATCTTCGAGGTTGATATCACGTTACAGTTAAAACGCTCGGTGCGTCCGGCCACTCATCGTATAAAAATGCAATAAATTACGTTTTTTATTTTTCTTATCCCAGACGAGTCTGGACTGGAGGGTTAA